TTCTTAGCACATGACAAGTCCAACCGGCCGCCCAAGCCAAGGGCCTCGCAGTTCGGGCGGGTTGGTCGACAGATGCAACAACCAAACGAAGTGTAGCCGGGCAAGCACTTGGGGTACACAACCCACCCCCATTTTTCGCACTTGCCCTGCCCATGGTCCTTTTGGCAGCGTTTGTACATGCCGCGGTCGTTCAGCCAGTCGCCAAACTTCCACGGGTACCCAGCCCCCCGGCCATATTCACTGTTGCGGCAAAACAGTCCTTGGTCCGCGAACCCAGCGGGGCAGTTCGAGTGGCAGTCGAGACCTTTGCGGGTCGTGCCCACTGGACACTTGTCGTAGCACAGCAGACCCAGGCGCTCTTGTCCGGTGGCGCACGACACCGGCACTTGGCCAATGCCACGTGTCTGCGATGTCTTCCAGCAAAACGATGCGTCCGTGGTTTGGAGCTGGCGGTCGTCGGTTTGGTTCACGGTCGCGCTGACCATGGCGGCGAACACGGTGATGAAAGCAAGAAAGTTGGCCATCACGTCAAGGCGAGGTAAATGGCAAAGTGACGTCTTCAGTTGGACAACGCGTGATCTCCAGTTTACGTCGCGATGATGTTCCGAACGCTTGTCGTACCTGACATGGGTGGGGTGTCCCAGCCTTGGGGCCTTGGTCGGGGAGTCTTGTCGACACATTTATTCACTCCAAAGTCAGTGGATATTTTCCCACTTGCGAAAAATGATACTGTAATATCGCTGGGTCCCTCTTTGGTGCTGCCCTGGAGTTGTAGAACTATATGCACCTGCCAATGCATGCAGAAATCACCAGAGGTTGGCCCCCCGAGTTTTCCCTTACCAGTTGTAACTCTCGTTGATGGACTTAAATGACGCGAAACAAACCGGTAGAGTCGAGCGTCTACGTTCTACGTTCTACAGTCCTGGTGAAGGGTTATTGAGTTGAAGATCTGTTGACCAAGGTGATCATCTCCTCCAAAATGGCCAATATTGGACTTCAAAACACTCGACCTGGGTGTTTAGGTGGGTATCAGGGTCCGCCGAAGTCCACCTCGGTGCACACCAGTATTTTTGATAAATGCTCAGGTATCGGGTTCGTCGAAGTTCACCTCGGTGCATGCACCAGTATTTTCGCAAGGGTGACGAAAACCATCCATCTGAAGTTTTATATAATTATTTGCCCCGAAAAAACACTTCTTACAAACCGAATTGTGTAACCGGATGAGACAGATACTGTACTGCAAAAACAAGATACATTTGCGTGCCACACACCGTTACTCACCTTAAACACTGTACAGTATCACTAGCGAGTTCCGCTCCTCGTTGGTGCAAAAAATGAGGTTACTCTAGCTGGGATAGAACCGAGGCCTAGCCGGTGAAAATCTGGTGCATTTCCCACTGAGCCGTTTCTGCTTAATTGGTTTTCATCACACAACCAATGTATAAAGTTTAAAATGGAATACTTATTGATACTTGACCATAGCGATCGCGATGGTAATCGCAGAACGGCCAACCTGCAGTTCTTTTGTGTGTGCACTATGTTGGTTATGCGAAAGAGAGTTCAGCCTGTGATATAGTATATATACTACTAGTATGTGATGCAACTATTAATAGCGGTAGTAATTCTTTCCACTAACGTTACCTGGTATGGTGTCGCAATTCTCTGCTGTAGGCGAACGGATTGAGGACGAGATGAATATCACGAAACTTGCAGTTTCCTTCAGCATGATTGCATTTAGCGCATACTGCACACACAGGAAAACACAAAAACTAGTACGTTAGTATTGTCAAATCGATTCGAAACTGGAGCCCTCAGCAGAATCCAAGAAACGATGAAAGAACCGCCTAAGCCAATCAAATCACGTCATGTCGAATTTCTGCCAATCCAAACATTTGACCCCTCCGCATTGGGCAAAACCAATATATACTAATCTTTGTATAGTATAGTGTGTACAAGCTTGAATAGGATTAAATTGATTTGGATGCTATGACTCTCAGTCAAGTCCCCAAATTTGGGTGAAATTCACAATACTATTGATACATTTCAACTACCGTAGCATCTACTACTACTCTGCATACTGGTATGGAGGCGGCATTTTTACATATGAGCACTTCGAGGCAGTGGAATTGAGCTGGTGATCACTCACTGCTTTACAAGGTTATGATGGCACCACGAACATTGAAATAATGTAGCAAACACACTGTCCACTGTGCCAAACAGCCTTGCGATTGATGATGCAGGTTACAGCATCCTGATGGAGAGTCGTTAGCGAACAGGTCGTGGTATTTTCCGCTCTTTGTCGCAAGTGGAGTACGTGTGGGCCGCAATGACACCTGAGACACCGCTGGGGTCCAAGAGGGACGCGATCAAGGCTGCGATACGCACGTAGTCTTCTTTGGTGGAGTTGGCCTGCTCGAGTTCTTCGATGTCATGGTAGCCGGTTTTGCCTCGATTGGCAGCATTGTAGACTTTCATAGCCGTTTCGACCAACGGCTTGGTTTTGATGGCGTTCCACGCCTTCGTCAACTGGACGAGCTTGGCCGGGTCCGCCGGGCCTTTGAGCACCTTGGCCAAACTGGCGGCAAACTCTGTGCCGATGTTTAGTACAAGCTCCCCCACCGACAAGATCTGGTATTTGATGGCAGTTGTGCAATCGAAGGAATTCTTTGGGTTCCAATGCTTCAGTGCACCCACGAGGCAGGAGGGCTACGCCAGCACACTCTTCCTCCAGTAACGTCAACAATTGCATTGTGAAGAGTCATATTCACTATCGACATTCTACACATACCGATCAGAAGCACTTATATACAGTGAACAATCCCATAACTGCTCGTCCAGTTCGGGCCCCAACTATGAAAGGTAGCACAGGGCTTCTGAAAACGTCCTGTGATAACAACCTCAGTCCTCAGTACAGTTGGACAAATTAAACCTCACACCCCCATGACTTTGTCTAAATAACACCCCTCGTGGCACAATTCAAAGAAGATGCCCGAGCCCGCCCCGATCAACACAGCGGGGGTGTCGCATTGGGCCAACCTGCCTTGGTCAAATACGAGAATGCGGTCGGAGTCCAGAATCGTGTCCAGACGATGGGCGATTGTGAGCACCGTCGACGACTCGAACTCGGTGCGGATCACGCGCTGCAAGTTCTGGTCCGTCTCGTGGTCGATGGCCGCCGTGGCTTCGTCCATCACGACGATGCGCGCTTGGCGGAGCAGTGCCCGCGCCATGCACAACATCTGCCGCTCCCCCACGCTAAAATTCTCTCCGTTTTCTTCCACGGGACTGTCCAACTTGCCCTCCACGCCTCCGATGCGATCAGCCAGACGCACCTTGTCCAAGCACCCCCACAAGTCGGC